AACACCAGCGGGTTATCATCATCCAACAACATCGCCAGCCGGAACTTCTGAAATGCCTACCACCTGCCCTGTGACCGCCTATCAAGTTGTCTTCCCGCTGGCACTCTCTAGGCTGTAATATACAGAATTTGCCCTTCCTATTAGCAACGTCTCCAGCACCACCGCCTTCACCTTGAGCTCCTTTGCACCCACCAGCTCCACGACAGCCTCACACTCCGACGGGAGGTTTAACACATCTCCTTCATCGAACCGATTGATTCTTTAATGAAAAATCACGCAGTGGCTTGGTCAAATATGAATATCATACAATAAATGCATCATTTGCACATCTTTGAAACGTCTCTTACAAACTTCATAGTCTTTTCATTCCTGTTGTTAATTTTATTGCTTTCAGTCTTTTTTCTTTTCGTTTTCTTCTTCTATCAGTAAGAATTCTACTTCCCATTCCTGACACATACTACTAACATTTGTCCGTATAAGTGGCACACACCACAATAAGAATATACATCTTAAAGAGATAAACTTGAGCGATTTATCAGTTTATCAGAGAACAGTATTTAGTTAAGAAATAAACTTAATGAAAACTAACAAAATTAAAACGGATGAACAGTTTCAAAATGACAAATAAACGAAAAAATAATGTTAAGATTAAGAATTAGGAATGTCAATAAAGTCAGAAGTTAAAGTTAGGAGCTAGGGCCCATAGTATTAGGGTTCGAACTGTTAGGATTAAAAGTTATAACAATAATACGTGGTTAGAATTTTGTAGCCCGCCGATCTGACTTCAGTTTGGATGAACATACGAATATAATTAATTGTTTTCAATACTTTAGAGATATCGGTCATTTCATGTACAATCTACCAAGTGGCTGAAAATCACGCTTATGAAACAGTTGCCGAATTTAGGATCCCTACAAAAATATTCAGGAAACCTGTAGAAATACTTCTCTTTGTCTTTCCTACTACTATGGTGTATGCTACTTATGTTAGCAGACGTAAGTAGTAAGTAACACCAATCGGAAGTGGAAACCCTGGAAGCAGAAGCCTAGAAGACCAAGTTGAACAAAATAGAAAGGGAAATAGGAAGGAATTGAGAATAAAAAGGAATCATAAAGAATGTGAACGCAAATTGATGTATTCAATGTATGATTCTCATGTTTTACCAAGGTATTCTGTAATTTAGTGTAAATATGCAATCGGTCGTCCCCAAAGGTGTTCTCGTTCATTACATTACAACTGTATGTAAATTCAGAAACTCAATCAGAAGTGAATTCAAACAATACCAAAATTAACTTAAAATTAGTTAAGGTCAAATTATCAAACAAATTAGTCCCAATAATGATCAACACTTACAAAAAAGAGATTTATTTCAGCAATTGTTTAATCGACTAATTTGAGATGAAAACCTTAGGAAGATTCACCATCTTTTCATGAAAACCTCGAGATATATAAATAACCTATAAGCTGGAATTAATTATTTTGAATTTTGCTTTAATTAAAGGCTTTTTTAACTTCAGTGATTCTAGAAACATTCAAAAACCAATCTTTTAGTAAAAATAAACAAACTTTGATCTTTGGTAATAGCATATCATAATTATTTTTCAATAACATGAAGTCAAACTATTTGTTATCAGTTGATGTTTTCTAATAATTTAATTAAAATACGAACTAAAGTAGTCAATTGATTTATTAGACGAGGAATATACAAAAGGATTATAAAAAGAAAAAAACAATACTAACATCATTACAACAAAAATTTAGATAGATTTGTAGTGATTTTGTAATAACCTAACTTTTTAAATTACTAACTTTCATCTGTTATGATATTTCTTACTGTATACGATGTGAGTTGTTTTGATTTTGAAAATTATGTACAACTCTTAAACCCATTTAACCTAGATTTCTCTTAGTAGTGTTAATTAACGTGGGACTTAAGTAGAGAGCTTCTCAAACGGTGGCAGTAACCACTTGACTTCAAAATATTAACCTTATTATTGGCGGATATTTCACTTTTGATGTAATCCCTGATTGTTTATGATGTGGTGAGCCAATCAGAATTAGCAAAAGGTCAACCGATAGCTATTAGAAGTGGCTTGAAAGGTCGAATGCATTTCATTGGGGTCAATTTTCTAAGGATTAGACTGGTATATACATTTAAATGAGTATTTGTGCACTTCATTCGGTAGTTCAATGCACTTTCTCGCTCAAGAAGTCAGCTGAGGGGTTAGCTCATAGGGCAGTATCGGATTTTGGACACCGCACGTCACAATTAGTATAACGGACTGATCTCAGTCAACTACTGTAAACTACCAATTACCGGACAGCTATTTCGTACTAGTATTGGAATATCTTCTGTAGTTTTTGAGGCTCAGTATCTGTCTCTGATTTGGTCGTACGAAAATGCTATAATCATAAATGTTCCATTTAACTCCGTATATTACCTAGGCCAACCCCAATTGTGTGACGGTGGTAATATGAAGCCAAATACGGGTTGAATTAGAAAAATTTATTTCGAGCACCCGTTTATCCAGACAGACATTCCGAATATGAAGCGAGAGAGCGAAAAGTAGAAGAATAGTGAGCCAACTCGCTTTGGTAAAGTGTGACTCAATATTTATAGTCGAACAAAAATGGTTACAGACATGTAATGAATAGGGTAAGTACTTAATATACGCTCATATAAAAAGTCAAGGCTAATATGCGAATAATTGACAAGGTCAAAATTCGACATGAAGAGAACGGATAAATCGGTCTGTCTGGAAGCTATAATAACCCATGAGGGCTTGACACAGTACTAGACACTACAAGAATAAAAGAATACGTTTTAATCACGAAAATACTTCTGATTGTGCCCTGAATCATATTGAGTGGGCTGAGACACAATACTTACTGTAATTTGGCTAAAGCATTATATCACATTCGCTATGTAGTTACATTTAAGTTATTTTTAATCATTTTAAACATTTTTAGAAACTAACTATAAACTGTTTGTACCTATTTATTAGTAGTATGTAAGTTATCCTGAGTTTTGAATATTGTGCAAAATCCAATAAGTCAGTCAGTCAGTCAGCGACAACGTAGGACCAGGCACATATATGCATTGGTCCAAGTTGCCATACCTCGTTAGCACAACAAGATGAACACCGGATTCATAGAAGTAATTAATTTAGTGGTGGTAGTATATAAAGAAAGGTTGTATATAAGGATATAGTATAGGAAGGAAGAGAGATATGAAGCAATTTTAGTCTCAAGGTTTAAAGGAAGATAAAGAGTGTATACACCTACGCCATTGTGATCGATTCTGAGCCATGTCACCTAGAGTTTCCAACCATTGGTTAAGAGATAGTCACGCGGACCCTAACCAGGTAGTCTGCATCTACCAACATGGCTCAGACTAGAAGCGATATCTTAAGTCTGATTGGTTCCTCAAAGGTCGGTGTAAGAGAGAAATACAAGTGAAATCGTAAGATTGCATGCATGAGTGACTCAACACCATAATATCCAAGTTTAAGGTTTACACAATCGACTTTTAGATACAGACTTTTTGTAAAGCTAGGTAGTAGTGATAGATTGATCTGGACGGAGCACAAACCTTCAATCAACTTTAATGACTAAACAGAAAGAGCAAAATTTAACGATGTCACGTGCAAGCATTTTTCGTAAACTGTTATAAGTTTTATTTGCTATTAGAAAGATGGTGGTTACATGTCGTTTATATATTGTGTAACCGATTATAAAATCGACGAATAACGAACTATAAGCCAACAATTTTCATAAACTTTAAAAATGGGATAGGATGAAAAATCATGGATTTCGTGTTTCCCTAAACTATAACCGTCATATATATATATATATATATATATATATATATATATATATATATATATATATATATATATATATATATATATATAGTTTATCAACAATTATTGTGAAGTTTCACTTAATTCACAAGATTTTGATTATTTTCAGATATTCCCATCATTGAAATCGTGAATCGAACAACATTAAACCACCATGGAGAATCTAGAAACGCTGGACGGACGTTTCTTCCTAGCATGGGACTCTTCACCAGTGCGCATCCACGATCCTTCAGAAGGAACTCGAACCCAGGACATACATGCATATATATATAGTTTGTTAAATTTATCAATAACTATTATCGTGAAGTTTTCACAAGGTCTTGATCATTTTCTGATATTTTTTCAATTTCGGAAATGTGAATTGTGGAGTATTTGTAAACATATTAAAGGTCAGAAAAGAAGGCTTGCATACACAAACACACGGGCGTATAAACCAGAATTTATAGGCAGTGGATGTTAAAAAGATCAAGAAAGAGTGAGTGAAACATTTGAAAAATGTGTTGTTTTCATTCTCGAGATCCAGTCAGACACATCATGAAAATAATAATAGCTATAGCATTAGCAATGATTCTATAACTTAATGTTGTGTACGCCACAGTGTATTTGCTCAAAAAGAAAAAAGGAAATTAACTGAAAACAAGAAGTACATTTAGAATAAAGTTATACACATGACAATTAATCAATGAAGTGCATGTATGTGTGTGTATGTACGCACAGTAATTCACCACTGAGGAAACTAAAAGGATAACTTATTGTTTTTTTTATTCTATACTTCGCATGATTTATTAAGAAAGTTTACTAAATGACACAAATGGATGATAATCGTATTGTTAATGGTAACTTGGAGAAACAATTTACGATAATCTATAGACAGTAGACCTATTGTAACGCTCGCTTTTAGCCATAAAGGTCTTTAAACTGAATGAATTATTGAATAAAAAAAATAAAACAGATACTCCCTACTTGTATGAGAGTAGTAATACTATCCAGTTGCTTAAATTAAAATAGACGTCATGGGTTTCGAACCTGTAACTCGCTAGTTAAAAGTTGAAGACTTCACACCAATAAGTAGCTGAGCAACCACACAAAAAATATCGTTGGTGAAATACAAAAAACACTTGTAAATATTTTACTTACTTCAAAAGTGATCACTGTATTACCAAAGGATTTCGTCCCAACTACTGTTGATGACGATGATGATGGATTGTTTGTTGACAGTGAAGTCAATAAATATTCTAATGGACATAAATCATCTGAGAGTATTTCTTCGACACCAACTAATCCAGTCAATATATCATGAGAATTACGTTTACGCATAACTAAACAATATGCATCTGGATCAACTTCGTCTAAACCATATTTATTTAAACTTTCACGTATAATATATCCAACATTGTCTGTAATTGATATTAATAATGTTTTATACGGTATTTCAGGAAATAATTGACCACCGTAGATTTTCAACGTTCCACCTAGAAAAACAACAGATGTAAGGGGGGAGGAAAGAATGATATTAATAAGCAGTCAAGCTCTAGTCTTCAGAAGTTTGGTATTATCAAGGGTCAGAGACCCAGTTTATATATAATAAAACGATAATTGTTAATCTTTCTCAACTCCTCTTTACTTTTTCTTACTGTCTGAGCTTTACTCACTTTGCTCGTACTTATAATTAGCGTTTAAGCATCACGTAACCACTTATTTATAGCCAGTCAATCTTTGTTATTAAATACTACAAGTTGTAAGCAGCTGATGAGGACCAAGCGAAATAAAATGAATTAGATGTTATTCTGCTCAACTATTCTTTCTCTCTTCAAGATAAAAGAGATTATGAGTTTGGAATGATGTGTGGGTGAGAATGATAATAATTGGTTGTTGTGGTGTAGATAGTCCGACGGGTGCCAGATGAGTTACATATTCCCCTATCCTTATTATTTATTGGTTGTTCATTATTGTTGGATTGTGTCGGGCTTTAGTGTGGAAATATATTTACGTTCTAGTCGGGATAATCACGTGTTCTTGATGACTTGCGTTGTAGTCCTGTAGAGTAGACGCTGGGTGGGAAATCTAGTGTTAGTATTCGTCTAAGGTTAATTAACGTCTCATTCGTGTAAACAAGAAAAAAAAAGGACAGGTATAACAGGGAAGCGTTCCATTACGTTGAATGACTATTCATTCAGTTTGTATAATGAAAGTGAAGAGACATTTGGAGAAACCAACCGGCTTTTCTGGCAGGAAGACTGTCATTTCAAGGCGAAAAACTCAGCTCCTAGACCCGTTCTCGTTGTTTGAAACACTAGGGTCTTCTAATGCAGGTGTCTCATTTAGAATGAATAAACGTTATATGCACACCGATAGCACATAGGTTTGCACTTACGTATCCCGTGATATAAATATAGGTTGCTGGTCACCACTCCCTTCATATTTGCTATCTTTTTCTAGCATTTAACTCCGCCTGTAACTCTTCTAGGGCTACTGACGGTCCCAAGACCGGGTAAAAAGGGATTGAGAGTAGAATCGGCAACCATATCCCGTAGAAAACAACCTCGCTAAAACAACGTTAACCAGAATAAACAATCTAAACCACTTAAACTCTACCCTACGCGTTGAAGGAAGGACTATGACGCTTCATGATGAAAGCCGAGGTTCTTAGAAAGTCACGAGGCCGATGCCCATTCTAACAACCACAGCAACAATTTCCATAGGTACATGGAACGTCCGGACAATGTGGAAGACCGGGAAGACCAGTCGAATAGCAATGGAAATGAGGAGATACAAATCGGCAGTACTTGGAATCAGCGAAACCCATTGAACAAAAGCTGAACAGCCAAGGCCATATACGGGAGAAATGCTGCTGCACTTCGGTCACGAAGAGGAAAATGCTCCACACACTCAGGGATTTGCTCTAATGCTGTCCAGAGAAGCACGAAATGCACTTGTAGGATGGGAATCTCACGGATCCAGAATTATCAAAGCATCATTCAAAACAAAGAAGGAGGGAATCACAATGAATGTTATCCAATGTTATGCACCCACCAATGATAGCAACGATGACGATAAAGACCAGTTCTATGAGAAACTGCAACCAATCATAGCTAATTGCTCAAAAAAGGACCTCACCATCCTAATGGGAGACCTAAATGCTAAAGTCGGAGTGGACAGCACAGGATATGAAGATATAATTGGACGACATGGACTAGGAGAGAGAAATGAAAATGGGGAGAGATTTGCAAATCTATGTGCATTCCACAAACTGGTTATAGGCGGCACAATATTCCCCCACAAACGCATACACAAAGCTACATGGATCTCAGCGGACCACACCACAAAGAAACAGATAGATCATATTTGTATCAACAAAATATTCCAAAGGGCAATGGAAGATGTGAGAACCACGAGAGGAGCTGACATAGCTTCAGATCACCACCTGGTTGTGGCCAGAGTAAGACTGAGGCTAAAGACGCATTGGACAACTGGGGAAACAGCATTACAAAGGTTCAATACAGCCTTCCTTCAACATACTGACAAACTGAACCAATTCAAGATGATTCTCAACAACCGGCTCCAAGCCTTACAGGATCTACTGAAAGAAGAAGAAACCACTATGGAGGACAACCGGAAAGGGATCAATGAAGCACTAACTTCAACGTGTCACGAGGTTCTGGACCGTAAGAAGCATCATCATAAGGAATGGATCTATATCGAAACCTTGGTCAAGATTCAAGAAAAGAAGATCAGGAAGAAAGCAATTAACAACAGCCGAACCAGAACAGAGAAAGTCAAGGCACGAAACTAAATACACAGAGACAAACAAGCAAGTGAAGAAGAGCATAAGAGTCGACAAGCAGAAATATGTGGAAGACTTAGCAACGACAAAACAAGCATCTGCAAGAGAAGGGAATATGAAACAACCATATGATACGACGAAGAAACTAGCACGGAGATATAGTAAACCGTAGAGACCCGTCAAGGACAAAGAAGGAAAGACAATCATTGAGATTCAAGAACGGAGGAAAAGATGGGCAGAACACTTCGAGGAACTGTTGAATAGACCAGTTCCATTGAATCCACCGGAGATCGAAGAAGCACACACAGACCTTCCTATGGATGTCACTTCACCAACGATCGAAAAATTCAGGGGGACCATCAGACAAATCAAGGATGGGAAAGCAGCAGAACTTGACAATATACAATCTTGGAATTGGTCTATTATCAGAGCTGTAGCAATAACGAAATATACCATAGTAGCTAATATCCACGATCTCCCACACTGGACCAAGACCCAGTACCTTCGGTTTCGAGCACTAACGCCTAACCTCTACAAACCACTGATGCGCATATGCTAGTCTGCTTTCTTTTGTGGAGCTTCGTATGCCAGTGGTCAGTCTATACCACTTTGCAGTCGTGTTTGGCAGCATTTAACAGCGTGGCTCAGGAAAGAACAACACTGATCAACTACAACATATATTCTGCAACATGTACTACATACAGATTATTCACTTCTAATGAGTAGCCTTATTAATTTCTTATCTATAATTGTGTTAAAATACCGCAAGACAACTTGAATTGATACAAGATCATGCCGAATTCCAACTATCGATAGTTTCAATCTTTGAAAGAGGTTGACTTAAAAAAAACCCTTCTACTTCTCAAACGTACCTGATCCAATATTATCATGATGTAACATTTGCATAAATTTAGCTTCTAATGTACGTTGACGTTTTTGTTGCATCGCTGTCTCCGGATCCGATATTGTACGTGTAAATGATGAATTTGGTAGAGTGTCAGGATTCGGTGAAATTGAATTTTTATTGTTATTATTACGATGGATAATATTATCGCCACTTCCATGATGTTTAATTGATCCTAGTAAACATATCAATGAATTTTCAGTATTAAAAATGGAACGAGAAGTTTTCGACAATCCTACACCTGCTGCACAACCTAATGGTTGTTTACGTCTTTCATCCGTTTTTACAGTCATAGGTGAAGTGATCTTTTCACGTCGAAAAGACCAGAGACGTGGAAATAGACGAGTTTTAGAGTTGATTACTGATCCACAAACATTACTATTATTATTTGGATCATTAAGTAAATTTGTTCCATTTTGAATTTCTGAAACATTTTTCTTGAAAAGAGAATTATTAAAATAAAAGTATGTTATGGGGATTTACATGAAAAAGATAAATAATGTATTCAGAAAAAATCACGTTTTCTAAAGCCGTGTGCTACTTTGTGAAAATCAAACAGTAATACGAATGCATTTGACTGCCATAGAATAATGTTTCATGTTATTGTAGGAACTGGATTCACATAATCATTCGTTACTAACTTATTAAGTCGATTTTTATCACTTATATTACGTAATCCAGTATCATAATCTTTCGTTTACATCATCGGGGTTATTCCTTGTTCATATGTCCTCGCGGAACTAGTACCAATTTGTTGAATGCACATAGGTTTGCAAGTCTCTCCCCATTTTCATTTCTCTCTCCTAGTCCATGTCGTCCAATTACATCTTCATATCCTGTGTTGTCCACTCCAACTTTTGAATTTAGATCTCCCATCAGGATGGTGAAGTCCTTTCTTGAGCACTGCTCTATAATTGATTGCAGCCTTTCATAGAACTGATCTTTATCATCGTCGTTGCTATCATTGGTGGGTGCATAACATTGGATAACGTTCATTGTGATCCCTTGCTTCTTTGTTCTGAATGATGCTTTGATTATCCTGGGTCCATGAGATTCCCATCCCACAAGTGCATTTCTTGCTTCTTTGGACAGCATTAGAGCAACTTCCTGAGTATGTGGAGCATTTTCCCCTTCGTGACCGGAGTACAGCATCATCTCTCCTGTACCTAGCCTTTGTTGTCCAATTTGTGTCCAATGGGTTTCGCTGATTCCGAGTACTGCCAAGTTGTATCTCCTTATTTCCATTGCTATTTGGCTGGTCTTTCCTGTCTCCCACATTGTCCGGACGTTCCATGTACCTATAAAGAGTGTTGCTCTGGTTGTTAGAAGGTGCATCGGTCTCGTGACTTCCGAAGAATTTCGGCTTTCATCATGAAGCGTCATAATTATTCCTTCAACTCCCGGAGCAGAGTTTAAATGGATTGAATTATTTTTTCTGGTTAGCGTTTTTTTAGCGAGTTAGCTTTTCTACGGGATGGGGTCGCTAACCCCATGCCCAACCCTCCTCCTTTACCCGGGCTTGGGACCGGCAGTAACTCTAGAAGAGCTACAGGCGGAGTTTCGCGGAACTACTACTTTAACACAAAACATTCTCCATATATAAATACGATTGTACAGCTTGACAATAAATTAGTTGTAAAGAGAATTCTCCAGTGAACTTCCTGTTTTTAACTGTGGGAACTCAAAATGTCAACTTTAGTTCAAAACTGTCTCCATTCTTCTCAAGCTTGAAATCCCTATTTTGGTGTTTTTATTGAGGAAAGCATGTTTCCAATCACCTAAGCAACAATGTCAAATTGAACTTTAAGTTTTGTTGATTACTTGCCTAAAATTCGGTTAAAACAATTTTTTATGTATTTTGTGAAATTGTCTGTAAGTACGTGTACACTTTTTCTATCAAGAAGTTATGGACAGAAATAAAAAGTTTTAGAGTAAAAACGAAAAGCATTTGATCACCAAAAAGAGGAAAGACATACCTGAATATGTCCACTGTTAGGTTCCAGCTTTAAAACAAACTTTCCTTCTCGACCTAATTTACTCCAACTGAGTTGGACTAACAAAGGATATTCATCGTTCGTCAGTCGTCTAACTGATAAAGTTAAAAAAAAGACAAGAATTTAACAACAAATCGAGATGTCATAAAAATGAACATTAATTGTAGCCATTCTGTTCATAGTAAAGCTAGAGTTTAATTTTACTGAAACTTTAGTAAGCAGTCATTATAGAACTGATCAATATAGCTTATACTAGTTAACTAACTTGGAATTGGTTTGTGTTTTCAGAATACGGAGGTATATATTTTTACAATGTGCGAAGCAGTATTTAAATGATTAAAGTACTTGATTCTCGAGGTGATTTGTAATCCATGAGATCTAGTTAGGTTTGGGCCTGCTACGGCCGAGGGTGGGGAGAGTCAGATCTCCCTTTCGAAATGCTCACATAGCCAAGTGCGTACAACCACTGTCAGGGAGGTTCTACTCACTGCCTTCTCGTGGCACTACTGTTGTTTACGAAATTGAGAGGACGAAAAGCAGATGTCCGGAGCTTCAACCGGGTTGACGGACACGGAGAGTCCATCTAGGAGAGTTGGAAATCCCTGATTCCAAACCAGTGGTGCACATGTTCTCCAGGATCCTGAGGGAACAAATGGCGTATGAATCAATCGATGGTCACCGGCTACCATGGGACTGCATCTCCTTACGCTGCTCCACTGCCTTGTGGATTAGACCTTCGGGTCAAAGGCTCCGGGTGTAGCCCCCTAAGTAAACCACTTGCTTTGGTCTGAGCACTATCACCGCCCGCACACAAATAAAATGAAGTGATGATAATTACTGAAAATACTATTCTAGCTTCAATTAAAATTCGAACAATTCACATCCATTTGGTAACATTCATTTTTTTATATGCTACATCACTTAACTACTCTCAGTTTTGTGTATTCTTATTTTCTAACTTATACAGCAGCTTGCCTATGGTGGAAACTCTGCTCTATCTAAACGATCTTGAGTCACTGACTGGTCGAAAGTTGAATGCTACCACCGAATACGAATGCTGAAACAGTCTTTCTGAAACCACGTATGCTATTCAAACTGGCTTCCTTCAACGTTCACACACAAGTGCGGATAGGACAACAGATAGGGTTGGCTATGTTTTTAGAAAGTCTTAATATCGACGTCTGTTGTCTATCAGAGACCCGTATTCAAGACTAGTGAAGTACTACAAATTCGCTCTCCATCTGTCGCTTTGAAAAGCTTGTTTTACGTGCGTTTATCCGGGGACCCTGTGGCATTTTCATCTGGTTTTGCTGGCGTTGGTGTGCACAAAGCGCTAGAGCTGAGGCAACACTAATCAATCGGTCGTGCGGTTAGGTTAGAAAGCTCCATCAAAGTGAGAAGAAATAGGTGTGAAAAACGATGTCTTTTCGTCATCTCCCTCTATGCTCAGACAGATTGCAGCTAGGATGTGATCAAGGATGAGTTCGACCATCAGTTAAGTTTTTCCGCAGAAAGTGCGTTCGACAGATATTGTAGTACTAGCTGGAGATTTGAATGCTGAGGTCGGGCGTCTAGGCACAGAAGAGAGTCATTTAGGTGGCTGATGGGGACTTGTTGGTCGCAGGACAGATAACGGGGACTGTCTACTGCAACTGTGCACAGACTACAACCTGTTTCTGGCTGTCACTAACTTCCGGCACAGTCATCGCCTATGTGCCGTTCGGCGCTCTCCCTCTGCATCTCAAGCCTGAATTCAGATTGATCACATCGCGATCAGCTACCGCTGGCGTGGCTGTGTACAAGACTGTCGCTCATTTTGGAGTGCCTATCTGAACTCCGGTCATGCCCTTGTTTGCACTAATCTTACCTTACTTTTCATTAGCCAACAAATTCACCGTCCTGAACAGATCGATGTCAGTAAATTGGTTGCAGTTTCTGTTACAACTAAATGTAAAACCGAGCTAGGTTCAAGGCTGGCTAACATCCCACCAAAGAGTACAGATGAGAGCATTGGTTGCAATTGAACGACGCTATGAAAATGGCGAGTAAAGTCGCTTGAGGCTTCGCGAAACGTCCCGCTTATAAACACTGAGTTTCTTCAAGTTTCTTACAATTCATTGAAGCTTGTCGGTCTACTCCAGGCGCCTGTGAGTTTGACTACAAAGAACAAAGCTTGCGTAAGGACCGAGAAGTTTGGTGGTCGGAGTGTACCAGAGAGTTGGGAGCAGCAGCTGCATCTGGTAACTGCCGGAAGCCCTTTCAACTCATTCGAGCCACTAGCAGCAAGAAGTCTGGTGTGAGCGAAACAGTCTGTGAAGATGAACTGATCCCAATCACTAACATCTATCGACATCTTGAACGATGGCCAGTTCAACTGGTTTGCTGTCCCGGCAACATCGATCAAACTGTCCTGCCCTCCATGGCCTTTGACGACCGATCCACCAAGTGAGGTGGAAGTCCGCAAGGATCTCCAACTCTTGAAACGCTATAAATCACCAGGCTCAGATGACATACCTCCGGCTCTTTTTAAAGATGATGGCGACTTTCCAGCGAAGGAACTGACTGCGTTGTTTACAAAGGTTTGGAGTTAGAGAGTGTTCCAACATCGTGGAATGAGTCGATAAATGTCCCTATCCTTAAAAAGGGTTCACGTCATCTCTGTAGGAACTATCGAGGGATGTTTAATTCCGATTGCGTTCAGTTATTGGTTTCCGTCATACTTCGTAGGTTGTTCAAAACCCAAGAAAGATTGGCTCGTGAGGAGCGGGCTGGTTTTTGTTCTGGTCGAGGATGTATTGATCACATCTTTAGCCTCCGATAAATGTTAGAACACTGTCATACTTATCACAGGCCAGAAATCGTGGTGTTTCTTGATATCAGGGCTGCCTTCGATTCATTGGACAGGACTGTTCTCTGAGATTGTCTATTGAAGAAGGGTGTGCCTGAAAAGTTTATTAACATCTTAAAAGCCCTATATATAAACACCTCAGGTAGAGTTAGGGCATACAACCTTCTCTCCCCATTGTTCAATTCAAGCAGTGGGGTGAGACAGGGTGTTTTATTTTATTTAAACACATACATATTGGTACAAAAGGGCACCAGATACTTTTGCGCCACACTATAAGCGATACGGTAAATAATAATAATAATGATAATAACGTTAATTGTCTGGCATATAGTAAGCGCGTAAATAATGTTGTCAGAACAAGTCATTTCATTTATTTGTGTGAGGGCTGTGATACTACCCGGGTGCTCAAACCGAAGCACGTGGTTCTCTTAGGGAAGCACATCCGGAGCCTTTGACCTAAAGGTCTTATCCAATTTGTGTTTACGAAACCTAACAGACTATGTTGGAATTTATTTTTTAGAACAAGGAGTAAGCTTATGAGAGTGGTCTGAACGACTAAACAGTTGAAATCGGTATGAACCTGGATTATTAAAAATTCCAATGAAGTATCACCATAACTTGAGTAATAGACAATTGACATTTATAAAAAAGATAATAAACAGTAGTGTTGCCTATATGATAGATGCCATTTGTTGTACTAACAAATATGATAAAATGCACGGGGATAATTTCGGCAAATAAATGTTTGAACAAGAAGTAGATGTTGATTGAAATACTTTGAAAAATGAAAATTATCGGTTTTGCAAATAGACAGTAAATTACACGATTTCGAACAAGCCTGTGTTGGTTGTATTTAAAGATGCTTATAAAATGTAATTAACAAATTATAGTACCTTCTGATAAGTTATATTTATGGTAATTTAGTTGACGTGCCCCCAAATGCCATGGTACGTCCGAGAGTGGGGGGGGGTTCGCTCTGCCTCTCGAAATGCTTTCACATGACCACGCGCATATAGCCCCTGCCAGGGAAGTCCTACTCACTGCCTTCTCATGGCGGGGTGTTGTTTATAAAATTGAGAGGACGAAAAGCGAATGTCCAGCGCTTTAACCGGGTTGGTGAACACGGAAAGTTCACCTAGGGGAGTTGGAAAACCCTGATACCAAACCAATGGTGCACATGGGATCCAGTATCCTAAGGGAACAAATGGCGTATGAAAAAATTGTTGGTCACCGGCTACCATGGGACTGCATCTCCTCACGATGTTCCACTGCCTTGTGGATAAGACCTTTAGGTCGAAGGCTCCGGATGTGCTTCCCTAAGAGAACCACGTGCTTCGGTTTTAGCAACCGGGTAGTATCACAGCTCTAACACAAATCAAACGAGATTTGTGTGGCGCATATGTATCTGATTCCCCTTTGTACCAATATTTATATGCTTAAATAAATTAGTTGACATGAAAGGGGAAATTCCAATCCAATAACAGAAACCACGATATGGAAAGAAAGACTTATCATTGTATAGACGGACCTCTGGTGTGGGGGGACAACAATCTCTTAATTCAAGACTTGTGTCTTCAGTCATAGTTTTCACGGATCCCTTTTAGGGAAAATGAATTGTAATGTTGTTTATCAGACTTTACAGATTTTCTGGTTTTACTTAGAACACTTCTAAACTTGTAACCAACCTACTTAAGCACATTTAGTGATAACAATTATCAAGCCTGTCCTAAAAATTATTAAGTTTGGTGATAAAATGACTGCTAAGCTAATGCGAACCATACAAAGTGGTTTGATTTAATAATATAAGCGACATACATTATGTACCTCATGGAGAAAACCACAAGAGACTGACTGATGGTTACAATGTTTGGAACAAAATCCATGTCCTATGAAGCACTATGACAGAAGAAAGTCACCAGCCGGAAGACTAGATAAAATGAAAAACCACATTTAGTGTGCTGTTTGAAATGATTAGAAATACATTCGATAGAAAACAAGTATCTACAATACAGTAGACTGAGCATACGTTTTACTACAGCTCTATATTTTAATGAAATACTGAAACAAACCTCCGTTTGGATGATGCTCGTAAATCCCGAAACGTTTGTTCATGACAGACGGTTCCTGGATGCAAAACTTTTCTTTCAATACTTCCGCAACTTCAGAAGTTCTGGACGAACTTGAGACTCTAATGCACTTTGTCCGGAATTTCCTATTTTCATCCTGAAGAAAAAACCGCATGACCCCATTGAACTCACATTTCTAAAGCTGTGTCAAACAACAGTATTTCTTACTTCATCGGGGATCGTAAGTTCAAATAAATCCAACCTACTAGAATTCCACTCTAAAACCTGCTCAACCAACTTTTTTCTACGGTCACTCAGATACCCCATAAGGAAGATAATGCAAATATAGCGCTATCCATCATTTACAATGCGTTAACCTTCTCCAAGGACAGAACCAACTGAAATGGGTTGCTTAAACACTTTCAACAATTAGTATATAATGTACAATGTATCGATGATTTTGGCTTCTTCTCCGAATTAATAATAAGTTCGACTTTCTAAAAGTAGTGAATAAGAGTCAACCGTTTTGACGAACAACAAGTTGCGTCACCTAAGGAGTAACGGAGATTATGTTCTGAATTTTTGCCACATCCACTTAGTTTGGGCAGTGGTTACATTATACTACTCCATGTGATTGAAAATCGGTCCGCGTATACTATGAAGTCGTGTGATAGGGCGTATATTGTATGATTGTTGTAGGCTTGGTAAACCTATCATGTGCATCGTAATGACGAATTTTTCAAAAACCTTTTTTTTCTGGCATTTACATGTTTGCCTAAGTGCAGCTTACTGCTTATGTGCAGAGTTTTTTTGGCAGTGTTAGAGTGATTAGATAAAATGACAGTTTCTTTACTTTATTCTGCGCTGTGTATGTCTTAATGCGGGTATAGATACAATTCATTCCTTAATTCTTAGTTGAATTTAGTAGGCCGAAATTTGTGCTTGCCAATACCAAGCTCTAGACTGGTGCACTTATATCATCGAATTTCGGAGCATATACAACAATCAGAACAATATGTGAAAAGTTATTTGCATACAGATGTTTACATCCGAAGAGGGAGATTTCATTAGGCTTTCGAGGCAATCGGCGTCCGATTCTTTGTGGTTAGCCGTGGTTCGTAACTTTTGACATCTGAAACATGAGCCACAAATATACGATGAAAACCACGCTTTCTCATGATAAATGAATCAAACTGGATCCCAAGCCGATAATTTTTTTTCTAAACGCCACTTGGTCAGGATATATGTCTAAAGAACGAACCGAAATGATAAGCGCAACCTAAGTGCTGTAGTTCATGGATGAGATTTTTTCAAGTGTGGTGAGTACCGGGAGCTGCCATGATGTGACTACTTAACCCATCATATCTTGAGTGGAAATCACTTCACTATCTATAACGTCTCATCCAATCGTAACAATTTGCGGTTGCTGCTTGGGACTTGTACAGAAAACGTTTGCGCTGGGACGAAAATGATGTGTCTAAGTAGAGTGACCACACCCGTATAGCCGAGCCATGCCGTACCGATTAAGTGTTCTGACATTCACCATCTCTGACCTTCTTTCAGTGTTAAATCTCGATTATTTTACTTTCAGCTTCAAAGATCAGCTAGAGGTTCACCCAACACATTCAAGTGTTAGGACTTATGTGAATTGTATCGATTTTTTCTTCGGCTTTACAAGCATCTTAAAGAAATAGTGAGACTGTAATTGCCAAACTTTTCATGGTCAGATACAGCTTTGATTATTGAGTGAAAATACATGGACGCACAAAATGGGCCTTAATAAACTTGATGCGCCTGCTTCTAGGTCTTAATTGCCACATTGTTCACCTACACTCACTATTAAGACTCATGTTTCTAATTTTTGTGCTGGATTAACTACTCTACTAAGACAACCTTTAGCATGCTAACTCGGACTTTTACATGAACACTGTGGCAGGCATCGGATGAGAAAAGAAAAAAAACTGACTGTAAAGGATATGGTTGCTATTTTACTTAACACTACTTTCATTATGCAGTGTGAACAAGGTATGAGAGGATATGGAACTGTATGTACGAAGGTGGTTCTGAAAGAAGTATGAAATTATGTGTTGTTATAAAGTAAAGTGCTGAAAACAGTACTCCGATACAACTGGCTATCTCCCTTTTTTCGAAGCTGTTTGAACTCTCTTTTTTTGTTTTTAGATTTTATAAAGTATAGAGTGGGCTTCGTTTTTAGCGAATTGTCCAGTTTGCTTGTAATAGGATTACACGGTAGGAAGTGGAACCAATTCAGCGTTCTAAACACGATTTAAAGAGATATTTTGCATAAATAAGTTTGTATCAATACCGTTGGTTCGTGACATCCCACTAGAAATAAGGAGTCGTAATTTAACATGTTCTGCCTTACAGACACAGGTGGATTGAAGTTATCTCTCCACCATCATGTATGCTGGTCAGTATCGCCACCCTCCCTATTTTTATGAAGTTAGTTTCTCTTACGTTTGTGGTCAGTATGAATATTGCTTTAATGAAGTCCCATAGTTGGAATACACTGTCACTACTGGTACCATGTTACTAGCAAATCAGCTGGCTAAAGCATTTTTATTATGGGTGAGACATCCATTTAGTATATCATACTGCTATGAAGATAACTAATGGTAAAAGCAATAAGATACATGTCAGATTATATGTGGTTAAGAGATGGTAAGGACTAATAGCAAACCAGAGGATATGAAAGAGTAGATCGTTAAATTTTCAGGGTAATAAAAATAAAACATTGAGCAACTCACAAGAATTTAGGACATTTGAGCCTCCTTTGATCGACCTTAGTTGGTCATCATCCATAAGATTAGTGAGTTATCTGTTTACTTGTAATCAGGAAAATACAATAAAAGGACATAAAACTTAGGAAGAATAATGTGGTTTTAACGATTAGAGAGACTCGGAATCTTAAAGTGGAGCTTAAGAGCAGAAAGCCATGATTAATAATCATAAAATAGTGGGGGAGGATAAAGCATGTGTTCTGTAGTTTGGTTATATTCATACTAATAAAAATAGGGTTCCTTATATTCTTGTTCCAGCTAGATATTAGGCGGTCCATAATAAAGTGCCTCATTGGTGGGTGGGAGTTCAAGGAATAGTTGATGAAGCTCTTTAGAGTCTAGTAACAAGGTGTCACAGTTACGGATAGGTATGGGCAACCTGTTCCACAATATACTATACCGTACTGTAAAAATCTTACAACGCATTTGTTTTTGGTGTTTTTCGGTAAATAGTGTATATGTTTTGTTTCTTAGTGTATAGACTGGGTCATTGATCATATTTGGGCAGGAATGGCAGTCTATTTGTTGCTTTATGGAGAAATATCAGATTGTTCATAAGCCTACGAGGCCATAAACGTTCTAAAGAGAGGTGCTTACATCTACCTGTGTAATCGAGAGTAAAGTCACTTCCTAGCAGTTGGCATGTAAAGCGTCTTTGAACATATTCAACTCTTATTTCGTCAGTGGTATTCATATTAGAGAAGATAAAAGAGCGGTATTCAAGGGAAGGTCGTACACATATTATAGTTATTGGTCTAGGAAATGAGAGACACTGATTGTACTTTACCATTTGTTTACGTCCCTTTAAGAATGAAACAAATCATGAATAGAGTGGGTTGCTGATTCCAAAGGACCGCAGTCTGGCTAGAACCTTTTTTGTGGAACCTTATCAAAAGCTTTCTTAAAGTCTAAAAATATGACTGATACAAGGAGTTTTTTGTTTTGTTTCAGAGTTATATCACTCATGTAGTCTACTAGGCATATATCACATGATCTGGACCTAAGAAATCCATTCTGGGAGACCGAAATAAGATTATTAGTAATTAGATGTTGGACTAACGCCGCCTTAACTACTTCTTCCATCACTCTGGATACCTCTGAAAATATCTTTATGGGTCGGTAATTTTCAATATTTGCTTCAGGTCATGTTTTAATTTTGGGAATGATGTGTGTAGTTTTTCAGGCAGTAGGGTAACGCGCTGTAGTGAGTGATATCGCGAATAGTTTGAGTAATGAAACACACATATCATCGCCTCCACGTTTCAGCATGCTAGCCGGAATACCATCTGGTCCATCAGTGTATGGGTGTTTCAATATACTAATTGCCTTAGAGATATTTTGTACATTGAATTCTACGTTAGTAATCTCACAGGGAGATGCTGTGATACGTTCTGAATCATTTAGTGGTTTTCCATCAGTTAATGAGAAACCAAAGTGTTTACTAAATAGTTCCATAACAAGTTTAGGATCTTCGTATACTTGTTTGTCTTTACTAAATACGTTTCCTCTCGACTTAAAAGGTTTAAGTTTATTTTGAAAGAGTATGGTGAGTGCAGGGAAGTTATTACTAAGTTCGATAGCACGTTTTTCCTGTTCGATTGCTTTTTGTGTACTTATTGCGTCCGTCCGGACAAGCATTTCTGTCATCGTTACTAAAGAGGAAAAGTCATTTAAGTTGTGGAAGCGAGTACAATGTATTTGCAGACGTCTTCGTGTACCGACCGGTATATACAGGTCTTTAGAAAACTAAGGTCTCCAGTACTCTAAAGGTACGATTTTGTCGATGATACTTCCGATGTTGTGATAAAATATATTGGTTAGTGTGTCGGTATTGTTTGCAGTAAAGAAAGGTCCCTAGTCAATGCTTCTTAGGTAATTGTGGAAATTATTCCAATCTACTTTGCGATAGTTTCTACGAAGGGTTACATTTTTACATCTACCGGTTGCGTTTCTTATATTCAAGCTACATACGACAATGTTATGATCACTACCTGGAAACGTTTTTCCAATATACACAGTATCGGGGGTGAGGCCACTGGTAAAGACTAAGTCCAAAGTATTTTGATGTCTGGTAGGGCTATTGACATATTGAGTCCACTGTCCTAGTTCAAGACATTCAACAAATTATTCGTAACGTTTCGAAGCCTTGACTGGAAACCGAGAAATTTCAGGCATGTTGGAGTCACCCCAAATAAGCTTGCCTGTGAATGGGAGGGATGATGCTAGTATGAATACCTCTGATAATACTGCTATTTCACCTATTGACGCGTTGGGTTGCCGGTAGACACAGCCGAACAGTAAGGTAATGGAATGTGATGGCTTTAAAACAATCCACACAGAATCCTTCAGTTTGTTTAATTCAGACATATCACATAATAGTGAGTTTAAGCTAGAGTGAACGTAAATAAGTCATACTCCGCATCGTCCCTTCAATCTATCGCTTATATATAGGAGATAGTTATCAAGAGATATACTTAGGTCAGAAATATTACTGTTAGTCCATGCTTCAGATATCATTATAAGTGATGGTTGATATATGGAAACAAAGAGAGTTAAATCAGTCTTTTT